ATATTTATGCTATCGCAATTTATATTATGTGTAGTATATAGTAAATAGCTAAATAAAAACCAAATTATTTTCGGTTTACCGCTTGCCATCAATAAAAAAAAGGAATAATAAAAAAGATTAAAAAACAAATTAAAAAAAACAATAAAATAAATTAAAAAAAAAAAAAAAAAACTTAAAAAAAAGGTAAAAATAGTTTGCTCTGGGACTCGAACCAGGGTCGATTCGATTGATAACCAAGTGCTTTAACCGTCTGCGCTACGAGTACAGCCGCCCGACAGCTGACAAGTTCTGGCATTGAACATTTTGGTGTGCCAGAGCATGTGAAAACAACTATTTCTATTTTTTAGAAAACTTTCTACTTTTTAGGAAATGTTTCTATTATTTAGGGTTAGCTTAATTTTAGGGTTAGGGCACTCATTTTTAGAAAGGCGTTGCCAAAATATTTCATTCTTTTGTTTGCCTTTCTATTTTTCAGAAAATAATTTCTAATTTTAAGGGTATTTTCCTAAATTTTAGGGTGATCTTAGTTCATGGTAACCATTTTCTACATTTTGAAAACTTCCTGGATTTAAGGAAACTTTCTTGACTTAAGAAAATTTCCTTAGATTTAGAAATAACTTTCTTGTATTTAGAAAAAAGAAATTTTAATGGCGATTTTCTAAAATTTAGGGTTAAATTTATTTTGAGTGTAGCAAACCTTTTTGTATTCTTTTTGTAAAAAGAATTCCCAAAGAATGAGAAATATCAAAGCGGTCTGAGTTCTTGTGAAATTCATCGAACCAGCGTTAATTTTCCCACAAAGAGTCACGGAAAGAGATAGCCATCAAGTGTGCAAATGAGATAGGTAGCGCTCTATAAAGTGAGCTCGCTCTGATAGAGAGCGTTATCAAATTTGTTTTATGGCCGCGATAAACAGCAATTAAATATTGGAGTTCGACCGTACCTGTCTATTTTGCTCTCAATTATAATCGTGGCGCTAATTTCACACGAACTTGTTTGTGCAAATATTTAACCTATCCCTCGTGGGCGGGGGTTAATGGGGGTGTGGCGTACCATAAAGTGCAATTGCGTTTTACTCCAGCCTTATTTAACTGTTATATGGACCTATGTTTGCCTTTCCGATTAGTTTTCCCACCGAAATGTGCGATGTGCTCCTGCTGAAATTCGCAGATCATGTGAGAAACCAGACCGAACCGGTTCGAGTGTGAAATAATCGTCTGCTAGACATTTTAGTGGGTCACTTATTAGGAAGCCTTGTCTTAAACTAAACCTAATTACTCGGAAATATTCATGTTTTGGCAAAATTAAAATTGGAATTTGACTTGCTTCTTGGAAATACAATCAAAACGTTTCCAAAAAACATGCATAATTATTCAGAAATCGCAATGTTTGTTTCCCCGTCAAATAATCTTTAGTTTTTTTGTTATTTCCTAATTTGGCAGACAGATTTGTTTCAAGCTAAGCACACAAAATTATTCAGAAAATAAAATGTTTGGCGGTTGTTGTTGATAAGAATTTTGGTTCTCGGAAACCCAATCCACTAATTCCCAGCTTCAGTTTTATTTCTATATTTGCGAGTCTGCTTTCTCAGGAACGCGACCGTTATCTAATGTAGAGCACGTGATTCCGGGAATTGTTAAATATTGAAATCCGAGCCAATTCAATTACTCTAAATTGTTAGAATCACGAAATCGGGGCGCCACAATCTTCACCTTCTTATCAGCAAACCGAAACTCACGCTAGATTTTGCGACATCATGCTTAATGTTCCCCCAGAGAGACTCTAGGGCAAATATTGTGTAATAATAACGATTAAAATGTTTAAGGTGCCCGGTTAAAGTTTTTATTTGCATGCCTGTGTTTGTTTTCAGTTGTCTGGTATACCCCGAGCACATTTGTAAAATTTCCCCCTTGAAAAAACCCGTTTTCCAACGGCAATATTCATTCATAAGCTGGCAAGCCCTGGTTTTTTCTCTGGGAAGTGTAATCAATCTAATCAATTGAGTGTGGAAAAGTTCAATGCTTTTGGGGTAAAGTGAATCGCAGTAAACCAATGTGGTTCGATTTGATTTGATTATGGAAATTCTGGACTTTTATCAGTAGCAGTGGGTGGGTTTGGTTTGGAGATTTCCACTGCCGCGTATTTATATCTCAGCTCGTTAAAGTCCCATACGCAGTACGGTTCTGCGTAAGTCCCGACTGATAATTCTACGCCGCATAATCCGCCCAGGCCTGTAACTCAAAACATTGATAAGCGACTTGTATTCCGTATAAATAATGAGCTTACGGGGAAATCCGCGCAGTTTAATGTTCGATTAAATCGAAAGCCAGCTAAAGCGTAAATAATAATAATAATATTTTGTATTTTCGTATTCAGCCGAAGACAACATGTTTGCTTTTAATGCGGGGGCAAATACTCGAATTAAAATCGATTTACCACAAAGAAGAAAAAGGGGGAGGGGATTTTCACGCAGGGCGTTTAGCACGCGCTCATGACAATCACATGTATAAGTCGGCAGCTGAGAAAACCTAGACTTTGTCGCACGAATCCGAAACTAGTTTGCCAACAGGTTGTAAGTCGAGTGATTGGGGCTGGGGTCTGTATTTGTCTATGGGGGTATTCCGAACGGCCATTTGAAGTATCGCATTGAGAATTATGCTAATTTCCAGCTGGCCGGGTCTAGCACCGTTCAATATGAATCATATTTACCTTCGACGACATCGCCGATGGAGGTGAATCTCTATCTCTGAAATTTGCACTGCGTCCGCCCTCGGAATCCCGCCAAGTCACGCTCTTCGTTCGATTCCGTAAATGGGCAAATATACGAAGCTATGGGCGATCACATTTGCATGTCGCGGGTCCAAAAACTTCCCCTTCTCCAATGTCCAATCTCCCATTCAAAGTGGGAAAGCTTGGCCGAGAGCCCGGCTTCAATTGTTCAGTCAATGGCCGCATGGCTCATTACTCAACGCCGAATGACTTGGCCCGATTGGAAGCGGCATTGAGTACGCGGCCCGTTCTTTGGAATTCACGCTTGATCCGCTGGATCAGGGTAAAGTACATTCGGTGATGATTAAGTGGGGATTGCTTGTGTAAGCGCTGGCGGATCACCTGGATCATCTCGCCGAACAGCCGGTAATTAACCCAATTGCGTTAAGCCAACGTATATCACACCCGGTTGTTCTAATCTACTGGGACAATAGTGGAGGTGATAATTATAAGGGCATAATTGATCGGAAGCGATCTGAAACCGCCCTAAACCGATCCAATTCACTTATTGTGCAATTTAAGCTAATTTAACCATATGACCAGGCATAATAATCATTGGAATTTATGTAATCACCCCTAAATAAAGTTTTTTTGTCTCTTAAGTATTTTTTTTTAAATGCTTATAGTACGGTACGGCACAGTCATTGTATTATAATTACTTATTCTTAATTAATAAATTCTTATGATATTTTTGATATTATTAATAAGGGCTTAAGTTTTGAATACATCCAGGTGGAAAGTTTGCTAAGTTCCCTGAAGAAATCGTGTCCAGATATTTCGCCTAACTGACCTATGTCTTGACCACATAAATCCAATGCTAATCGTCCTAATCAGTGGTTAACTTTTTTCCAGTGATTTTCCCACGGCACGAGCTACTCGCATGCTTTTCCCTCCCATCCGATGGGCTATCGTTTGTCTCTTTTTTGGCTCCCTCGTTCCATTAAACCAACATTGTGCGATGTCTGGCATTGATTATATTAACATGTCTCGGGCTCAACATCTGTCTGCTTAGTTAACTCAATTGCCATGATCGCGAACGTGCTGCGATTCGAAATCCCCATCCAACGGGGGAGGGTATGGAACAAAAGTGGGTCTTGTATAAAATTAGGGGTAAAAAAAAGCACCTTTGCCTGTCATAAAAATGTTTATTTACGATCACAGACCGATTTATACAACACCTATTAGACTGATTAAAAAATTTCACCATTCCGAAGTACTTTACAGAGTTTTCATTTTTCCCAGCTATAAGCATGACCTACGCTTTAAGTTAATTTTGCACTGATCGGTAATTTATTAGGTAAACTAACTATTTTCACACCAGTTATCGATGGGCCACGGGATTTCCTGAAAAAAAGAGTGTGCCAAAGATTTTTCGGAATTTATATAACCATCAATCTCCCCAGAGTCTTCTGAGGGCATCTCCCATTCGATGGGTATTGCTGCCCTCGATTTCAGTGTTTATGCGTGCCTCACACAATCGACGGGCTTCCGAGAATTCCATTGATAAGGGGCCCCAACGAGGGGCTCTATATGCATGGCACGCTTTCTGGGGAAACCCCGGCAAGTTATGCAAAGATTGATGAGTCGGCTTCCCGTTCCAAATGCAAGGGATTTGCACTCATTGACGTCAAGATATGGATTGCTGAAAGAGATTGCTGAAAGAGATTGCTGAAAGGGTTGGGGAAATAAGACAGAGAAAGTTTTGGTTTTTTGTATGTGTTTTTATTTTTTGTTAAAAATCTTTTCAATTTAATTTTTGTTCTTAAATTAAATAACAATTTTTTTGTGTGTTTTTCATTATATTTTTTGTTGGGAAAAGCTAACATAACAAAACTTTAATTTATACATGCAATTTGCTGCTCTCCTTTTATAAGTGTAATTTACAATTTACGGCGTACAGAATAATTGTCATTATCAGTAAATTTGCGCGACGCTTAAAGCGAAAAAATTATACAGAAACAAATTGGCTATATGTATGAAGCTATATGGTATGGTTTGGCTGGGCAGCTGGTCACGCGCTTCAGTGTGTGTGATGCTGCTCCCTGGCTCCGAGTGTGAGTGAGTATCTGTGTGCGACTTCCGCGGGTATCTCGACTGCAGGTTCTACCGCCTCGAAGGTCGCCTTTCAGTTTCAATTATTCGCCAAGGCGCCGGCTTATCAATGCTCCTCCTCCTCCTCCTCCATCTCCTCGCTGAGTTTACAGTTAGGTTAGGGTATATATATCGTAGTATACTATATATCCAATATAGGTAGGGCGTTTCAGTAACGCCCCGAAGCGTCGGATTCCCTCGGGAACTCTCCAAGACGTTCGGGGTACATCAACCCCCAGCAGCAACTGGTTTCTGGTTTGATTGTTTTTTGAGCGATTTAAATCTCTTGTGGCCCACTGTCCTTGCGGGGCCTGTTCAATTCGATGGCTGTGGTGGGATTCGATCGACTCACACGGCCGGCAGCTGGACAATGGGATGCTGGGGGGCGTCCCAGTGGGCCTCGCAGTAGTCGACCAGCTGGTTCTCGGCCTTGGTCAGCTGCTCCTCGGGGGCATCGGCCCAGACCTTCTGGACCAGGCAGCAGGATTCGACGGAGTCCTGGCCCAAAATGCGGCTCAGCTTGGTGGCATCGTCGACCTTGATCACATAGATGTCGTTCTCGTAGCAGAAGGCCTCCAGCAGCACCTCGTGCATGTGGGTGGCCGAGTCGCCGTCCTTGGGCTGGGCCATCAGGCAGAAGAGGGATCCCTCGGGGGACTTGGAGAGCACGTTGATGGCGGCCGACAGGCCAACAATCACACGAGCCTCGCTTTGGGCCCTCAGAAGGGCCGATTTCACCACGCGTCCAATGGGGGCGCACTCCATGGCCAGATCGATGTCCAGCTCCAGCTCCATATCCAGATCGCGTTCCAGGTGCATTGTGCAGGTCTCCTCGACAACCATTTTGTTAGGGTATTCCGTTTGTTGGGCGGTTTTCTTGGGGTTTTGTGTAATTTTCAAGCCGTTGGCTTCCACTTTTTTTGCACTGTTCTCTTGGCTGGCTTTTATTTTAGCCGTGTTTTTTGGTTTGCTTGCGAGTGTATCTTTTTGTTGTAGCACTCGATTAACTTTTGATTATGAAATTCTTTTCGCACTGGGCTCTGCTCTGCGTTTCAACCGTTTTGTGTCCGCGTTGTTTCAATTTTGAGTGGCAATTTCACAATGAATGCCCTCAGTTGGCGAGCGGGCGCTTTTATAGCCGCGCTCTCAGCGGCCTGAGAATTCCACTGAATTTCATCAGAAACGAGGGACAGCGAGAGAGCGCAAGCTTTTCGAGGGGCCCGCTCTTGGGGTCTTCGGCTCTCCAGCTCTCTTTTGCTCCAGCTGAAATCGGGTTTTTCGCTACTTTTTGGGGATCCAAAAGATTTCCGTTGATTTCAGGGTAATTAGCGGTTTGGGGGTTTCTTTCCATGGACTGCAAAAAAATGCAGTTTTTGATGCTCCTAACAAACGGGGTCAGCCAACTTGGAGGGGCTCTCCCACATATCACATCGCAAATCTCAAATCTCGACAGCGAGAAAGTGACTCCCTTAAGTTAAGAGCTTCGTTATTTCATTATCTTTCGGTGGAAAAAACATGTGCAAACAAGTTTTGAGTGAAACAAAATTGGCTCATCAAATTTCGTAAAAAAATCTGTAAATAAATTTCACTTGAACGATTTTCCTTGACTTTTTAAAAGACTTTTTCGCCAGAGTCTTGTGAATGGACCCCTAAATTTTGGCCCTCGGCCAGCAGCAGCAGGTGAGCAACAGGTCTAGACTTGTCGACCAACGCGGCGTATACGCGATGTACGTGTATACTAGGCGTATTATTAACGGATGACCTTACTTAACGCACTCGAAATGGATTCGGGTTAATTTTATTTCTGTTCTGGCTGCGCACGAACGGCAGTGAATGAACCCCTCAATCAATCTTTTTTTGGGATTTCGCCCAGACGAGTGGACAAACAGAATATATCGGAGTGGCCAAACACAATGGAGGCTGCTAATCAATTTATCGCGGTATTCCAATTTTAAATTACCCCCCTTTCACGCCGTACAATCAGCACGTGGGAACGTGTCGAAATCGGGAGTTAAGATTGCTGAGTGAATTTTATCAATTGAACCCCGCAAACTACGCCATTCGGCGGCATTTTCAACTGACTTCCCGTCGCGGGTTCAACTACCGCACATTAATGCACTTTTTAATGATTAATTAGTGCTTTTATCGCCGAACTTTGTTTTGATGCGCCAAGCATAATTCGGAGGGCTTTGTTGGGAATCGCAGTTGAATCATTTATAAATAGCAGCTGAAAAATGATATTTACATATGTTTTAGTTTGTTTTGAGTTGAACAAACTGCTGAAAGTGCAGGAAAAAATTAAAAACAACTTTTCTGGGGCAGTGCAGGGTGTAATTTAAAAAGATTTACGGTTGTTGTGAAATATATGTCTTAAAAACCTTACTAATAAATCGATAATATGATTCGTTTTTCTATTTTAACGTGGTAACCAATTGAGAATATAAATGATAAATCTATTTCTACGTCAGAAGTTTCCTTTGAGGTAATCTGATAAAATTGGAAATTACAATCTGTAACAAACTTTAACTGTTTAAATGTACAGCGGTAAAAAGTCGTTTGCTTTTATTTCGCAATCAATTTAGATTTCACCCATATTGCAAATACTCTGCAAAGGTATTTAGAATCTTCCAGAAGAGACAACACTTTATCGACAAATACATATATAAGCAGATTAATACCGAAAATTTCATCCAACTCCCCCGCCAATTACTGACCTATGTGTTTTGTACTCGAAAACATAAACAATTGTCGTGCTTACGAGGCGCATACTCAAATGGATCATCCGGGGAAGTGCTGAGAAATAAAAGTGCAACAGAAATAGAAACTGCCGACTCAGCTCGGAATTTGCGCGCCAAATTCGCCTCGAAAGTGGCCAATGAACCTGCGATTGAGCTCGAAGGGAACCCGAGAATTGGTGACTAAATGGGGGTTTTCAAGCTAGATAGGGTTTTCAAGCTATTTATTTCCCTACGAATTTGTGTAACTCCTGCGATTTTGAATCCAATAAATACATTTTGTCCTTAGACATTTTAATATTAAAAACTTTTTAAATAAATAACTATTAAAGTCAAACAAGCATAACCAACTTAAAGTAGTATAAATACAATTTTGTCTACGAATTTAATAAATTTTAATCATGTTAAGTAGTTAAAAATATCAATTTAAATTTTCTTTAGAAAACACAGTTTTTTTATATTTATGGAATTTTTATAAAAAGTAATATAAAAGTATAGTTTCCTTGTATAGTCACAAGATTATAAATGGCAATTTACAATTTTCTATTACTCGGGCGAACGTGTGAAATGGAACATGTAATTATTCATCTAGACGTCACAATCGAGAATACCAATTGTAATGAATTTAGATATTTTTAGCTTTTTTGCGGGGCGTTGGATGGACAGCACTGCCTGCGGGTTGTTTACCATTTACCATCACCCTGCCACCCAATTATGTGTGCAACATGCCATCGGCACATGTGATGGCGTTATGTCGGATGGCTTTTGTTACCATGGGTGACTATATGGCGGATGGGGGTTATCATTGAGTCCACGGAGTGATCGGTGCATGGAAGAGTGTTTTTTTTGTGCCTCCTCGCCTCATTGGATTGAATTGGATGCCCAACTGCTGAGTCACGCCGGCGCAGCACTAAACTGGGCCCAAACCCACGGCAAAGCGAAGAGCCAAAGTGAGTCAAAGCCAAAAGAGAGTGCGAACTGGTTTCAAGAGTTCCCCGAAAAAGCGTTTGCATTGGACCGCACTCGCATTCGGCTTTTGGCTTTCAAAGCCGGTCCAAAGTCCTCACCTGTACTACCTGCAACCGGTCACCCAGGCCAAACTGAAATACCGATGAATGCCGATGCCGCCTAAAACATCACGTGCACCTCGAACATCTCGATTTGGAACGAGTTCTTTTACAGCCAGTCTCCAAGGTGCAATTATGTATGGCAGTGCAGCCACATATGCTGGGGACTTCCCATTTATCGCTGGCACTCGGAAAAACCCCAATATCCAAGAGAATTCTCGGCGGAAAACCCCCTTGTAATAATGCTGTATTTTCTGTTGTAATCTTTGGTAGTATTCCCCACTCCGAATCTGAATTATTTTTTCGTTTAGCCAAAGAAGAAAGATATTTATCGGGTTACTTCGGGGGATCCAAGTGAACAAGGTGCTTCCCGATTTATTGCGCTTCGTCGCGGATAAAAAAGTATTGTGAAACATTCGCCAGTACGTTTCAAATAATGACGAAATATTTCGGCTGCTCTTTTTTGAACAGATGTATTGTCTTTAGAATCTGATGCAATATGTAAATACGTACAAAGCTGAAACTGAAGAGAGAGCCAAAAAATGGTGTGCAAATTTTTTGTTATTTGTTTTATTGTATGTATAAATTGTTGAATTGATTCTTTTGTTCCAGTTTTTTAACCAAACGTGAATAAATTTCCTTCTTAGGGTAATAATGTATTGTAAAATGTATTAAAGACCTTTTCAATGTAGTTCTAATTTTAACAACGGTTTACTAAGTATTAGTTATACATTTAATAAATTTTTATGAGAATCTTTAATCTTTAAAATAATTGTTTTAAGTTAATGTAGGTCGTAGGTCGAACACGCGATTTCTGAGCTAAAATGAAATGTATTTTGTGTAATAATCTATGTTGTAATGATCCTAATGATCCTAGTAATTGAGCTATGTTCACACAAACTAAAATTATATTTAGCCACGCACATATATGTGGGAGTGATATTACTGAGGGAGTGATATTACTAGAATAACCCTACCTATCCCTAACCATCCCTAAGACAACGACGAGAAGTAGCGCATTCCAGAAGAAGACGAGCCAAAGAAGAAAAAGACGAAACCAACGACGATAGGACGAGAACGACGAGTAGGAGCAGTATTTGACGAGATCTGATCCAAGGAAGACGTGCTTGTGTGAAGAGCAGAACGACGCGACGACGGTCTCAATTCTACTGACATTGTGACATTATTTAATCATTTAAATAAACCCTTAAACTTATATTCTTCAAAACTAATAAAAACCCCACATTTGGGGGCTCGTCCGGGATGTATCCGAGAAAGGTGAAAGTGATACGTGAAAGTTCTACTACGTGAAAGAGACACAAAAAACCCTTCGTGAAACATACATTTTTTCAATTATGGCGTGTCTAAACGATTTAATTTCAAACAATTTAAAAACAGCATCAAAGGCAAGCATTTGGGCTTTGCACAAATTCGTGTTTGAAAAAGAAGGAGACAGGAATAATCGCAAACGCCTTCGCGAATTTTCTGGCTTTCAATACGACGAAAATGACGCAGTATATAAAGCCAAAAGTGTGTACGTGCAGGCAAAACTGACTGAAAGGGATTTAATCTCAATATGCCTAGTTTTAGGCATAAGCCACGAAGTCGAAAACATGCAATTGCATATTTTTCGCAATCTTCGATTTGGCCAACTTCTCGCTGGCAACGAAGTGGAAGACCCAGAGGAATCTGATGAAGATGAAGAAGACGAAGAGGAGTATCAAAGCGACGACGAAATCGAGAGTGTCATTTCAAATTCCGCAAGAACAAATCCAACGAGTGAAAAAGACCGAAAGAAGAATTCGCAACCAGTGCCAATTCAATACAACGAAATGCCGCGTTTCGCTTTAAGTTTTCGCGATATAGAGGAATCTATAAAACAATTCGAAGGCACAGACGAAATTCCAGTCGAGGTCTGGATAAGTGATTTTGAAGACCAAGCTGTACTCATGGGTTGGAACGAAATGCAAAAGCTGATCTTTGCCAAAAAATCGCTCAAAGGTGTCGCGAAATTGTTTGTGTTGAGCGAGAAAGGAATAAATTCGTGGAGTGCTTTAAAAGAGTCTTTGTTAAGCGAATTCAGATCGAGAGTGAGCAGCAAACAAATACACATGCAACTTGGAGAGAGTAAACGACGCGCAACCGAAAGTGTACAGGAATATTTTTACCGTATGAAAGATATTGCCTCACGGGGAAATGTTGAAGAAGACGCTCTCATCCAATACGTGATCGACGGTATTGATGAACTCTCAATTAATAAATCCATGCTTTATGGAGCTATAAACATGACCGAATTTAAGGACAAGTTGAAGGACTACCAAACAATCAGTGCAAAATCTCATTTTGGCGAAAGCAGTGTGAAAGACAAGAAAGCTCAAGCGGCGCACAGTGGTACAAAAGGTGGTGTCAAGAAGGAAATCGTTTGCTACAACTGTGGCGAGAAGGGACATCTGTCTAGTGGTTGCAACAATAAAGAGAAGGGCAGGAAGTGTTTTAAATGCAACAAATTCGGTCACATCTCCAAAAATTGTCCCCAACGTGTCGAAACAGTCGATGAGTGCAAGCCAAACGCGCGAGTTTTAAGTGACCACAACAACATGACGAGCAAAGTTGTTTCAATTAAGTCACAAAATTGTATCGCACTGTTCGACACAGGCAGCAAATTTAATATTTTGCGTGAAGACCTTTACGAGGAGCTAGCTTTGCCGAAGCTGAAAGAGTGCAGTGTATATCTAATTGGATTTGGTAAAAATCGCAATTCCAATAAGATCAAACCAATTGGACAGTGCAAGCAAGCAGTGTGGATCGACAACAGTGCCTACGATTTGAATTTCTTTATAGTTCCGCTCGATTGTATGGACACTCGAATGATCATTGGCGAGGAATTGTGTTTGCAAGCAGAAATATCGTTCGGTCCCAGTGGTTTGCGTGTGCGAAGTATAAATAATCTTTGCGAAGACAACATTCCAGCTAACTTGCTGAAAATTGACACGGTTATTAACAACGATGAACTCGATATAAACGAATCAGCCAGTGCGTGTGCGAAACAAAAAGTGCGTGAACTAATAATGAATTACAAGCCGGTAAAATCGAAGTCGACCAACATTGAAATGAAAATCCTTCTAAATGACGAATCGCCAATTTTCTCGCGCCCGCGCAGATTCGCTTTCGCTGAAACAAACGTGATCGACGAACAAATAGAACAGTGGTTGGATAACGGTATAATCGAGGAGTCTGATTCCGAATTTACAAGCCCGGTAGTACTTGCGAAGAAAAACGACGGTTCGCAACGACTCTGTATAGATTTCAGGCGTATAAACAAGGTAATCGTAAAAGATCATTTTCCCTTGCCCCTGATTGACGACCAACTTGACCGCTTGCAAGAAGCGTTGATATTCAGTACAATTGATTTGCGGAATGGCTTTTTCCATGTGCCAGTGGCCGAATCTAGCAGGAAGTACACCTCATTCGTGACGCAGAGTGGGCAATACCAATTCCTAAAGGTGCCCTTCGGTTTGTCCAACTCACCTGGTGTTTTTCAAAGACACATCAATGCGATCTTCCGAGTACTGACCCGTAGAGGAATCGCTCTCCCTTATGTAGACGACATAATTATCCCAGCGAAGGACGAAAAGGAGGCGGTGTCGAATCTCAACGAAGTTATATCAACTTGCAGCGAATATGGTCTCGAGCTCAACCTAAAGAAATGCCATTTTCTGCAGACCCGTATCCAGTTCTTAGGTCACATCATCGAGAACAAGACCATTTCTCCAACTCCTCAGAAGATCGACGCAGTTTCGAAGTTTAGGACGCCACAGAACCTAAAGCAACTAGAAAGTTTTCTAGGACTCACAGGATACTTTAGGAAGTTCATCCAGAATTATGCCCTGATTTCGAAACCCTTGACTGACCTTACCAAAAATAAAGCTGAATTTGCTATTGGCCCTGATGAAGAGAACGCTATTGAATCTTTAAAGAAATACCTGACTTCCACCCCTATTCTAGCTATTTACAACCCGAAGTACGACACCGAGGTACACACTGACGCCTCCATAGATGGGTTTGGCGCCGTGCTTTTACAGAAATCAGCTGACGATGGCCAATTTCACCCAGTTTATTTTATGAGTAGGAAAACCACAGATGCTCAGCGTAAATATTCCAGCTACGAATTAGAGGTGCTAGCGATCATCGAAGCTATAACAAAGTTTAGAGTCTATCTACTTGGCATCCCTTTTAAGATTGTGACAGATTGCAATGCATTCACCAAGACGCTGGAAAAGCAAAGCCTGTGCACCAGAGTTGCACGTTGGGTACTGTTGCTTCAAGAGTACGACTACAAAGTCGAACACCGTTCAGGTACACGTATGAAGCACGTTGACGCTCTCTCTAGGTACCCAATAATGACAATCATAGACGACTCCATAGCACTTGGCTTTAAACAAGCTCAAGAAAAGGACGAACTCTTGAAAACGATCTGCAAAATAATTGAAGACTCCAACTCACCCTACGACGACTATTTTCTCAAGTCCGGAATCCTATACAAGATAGTTAACGACGCAGAACTTCTTGTTGTCCCCAGAGACATGGAAAGACAGATCATAGCCAGAGCACACGACCGAGGACATTTCGCCGTCAAAAAGACGAAGGAGATGATTTGCAACGAATATTTCATCCAAAACCTTGACGAAAAAATACAGAAATTCATCGACTGCTGTATTCCGTGCATTTTAAGCAACCGCAAGCGTGGCAAGCAGGAGGGCTGGCTACATCCATTGCACAAAGAAGATTTTCCACTGCACACTTACCACATCGACCACTTGGGTCCATTAGACTCTACAAGCAAGAATTACAAGCACATACTCGCCGTCATCGATTCCTTTACGAAGTTCTGCTGGCTTTATCCTACAAAGTCTACGACCTCAAGCGAAGTCATTACAAAACTACGAGGACAAAGTAACGTATTTGGCAACCCAGCTTGTATTATTTCGGATCGAGGTTCAGCTTTTACAGCCCAAGATTTTCTTCAATATTGCGACGATGAAAATATAAAAGTGGTCAAGTCTACGACGGGTCTACCACGTGTAAATGGACAAGTGGAGAGACTGAATGCCATAATTATCCCAGTTTTGTCAAAACTCAGTGTGGATGATCCTACAAAATGGTACAGACACGTTGATCGAGTTCAACAAGCCATCAACTCTACTTTCTCGAGAAGCATCAACACCACACCTTTTGAGCTTCTAATCGGAGTCAAAATGAGGAATAAAGATGACCAGCAGCTTCGTGAACTCATCAACAACGAAACCATCGCGCTGTTTCAGGACTCTCGCAACGACTTAAGGCTGAAGGCAAAATCACAAATTTTAAAGCTCCAATCGGAAAACAAAAAGACGTACAATTTGCGACGCAAACCAGCAAGGCCTTACAACGTTGGCGACATGGTAGCCATTAAGCGCACACAATTTGGCGGAGGTCTCAAACTAAAGCCGAAGTTTTTGGGTCCTTACCAAATCACGAAAGTCAAGCACAACAACGCCTACGATGTCCAGAAAGTCGGCAGCTCAGACGGTCCAAAAATTTCTTCGACCTGTGCCGAATATCTCAAGCCATGGCCCACCCACGATGACAACGACGGAACATTCGAGGCGAATGTTTGATCAGGATGGCCGAATGTGGGAGTGATATTACTGAGGGAGTGATATTACTAGAATAACCCTACCTATCCCTAACCATCCCTAAGACAACGACGAGAAGTAGCGCATTCCAGAAGAAGACGAGCCAAAGAAGAAAAAGACGAAACCAACGACGATAGGACGAGAACGACGAGTAGGAGCAGTATTTGACGAGATCTGATCCAAGGAAGACGTGCTTGTGTGAAGAGCAGAACGACGCGACGACGGTCTCAATTCTACTGACATTGTGACATTATTTAATCATTTAAATAAACCCTTAAACTTATATTCTTCAAAACTAATAAAAACCCCACATATATTTAAATTTCCAACTGCCATAACCGCTTCTTCTGTTTCCTAACGAATGACAACTCTGTTTACTACCCGTTAAGCTCTCTCTGTCGCTCTCAGCCGTTTTCCCCCACGTGCTTTTCCGTGCCGGTGGAGCTTTCACCTTGCTCTTGCTCCCATTTGTTTAGAGCTTCTTCTTCCCTGTAAACAAAAACACACGAACAGCTGCTTTCAGCCCCCCTTTTAGTGTTGGTAAACATGGTGGATATTACACAGGCAATTTATGTAATTACGTTAAACAATCAAGTCGCATAAATTATAAAATAAAGTCATTAGGGAGAAGCTGATGGCATTTCGGGCTGAACTCTGACTCACATTTGTTCCGGTGCGAAATAGTATCAGCAGAACTAAAACCCCAAAGCAGTGTAAAAAGCTCTTTGTTATTGAAAACCCCCCACAAAGTCAAAAGAGTCGAAAAAAATGAACAAAAAGCGAAGTTCTGACAGGAAAACAACAAAGAGCGGCTCTTTGTAAGCCAAAAAACCAACCATAAAAAGAAGTTAGAGAACTCAAACTAATTGCCCGAAATGGGCTAGATGGGAAAAAACAAACAATCACGCTGGCGTGAGCGAGATAAAAACACCGGGGCAAACCGGCCCGAGCATTCATTTTTCTTTGGGACGACAAAAGCGACGGATCGTTCGTTGTTATTGATATTTCACCTCCATCCGTGGCTCCGTTCACATCGCACATTTTGTAAATAGAACGCGAAAATCCCCACGAAGCGTTAATTTTTGCATACAATGGAGTACCTGAGCTACGTGTACGAGAAAATCTTCGGAGGAAATCCACCGACAGACGACGACGACACGCAAGGGGCTTTCCACACGTGAGTGTTCCTTCCTCGTAAAAAAATCCCCGATTCTTAATATCTGGTTTTCCCGCTCTTTAACTTTCAGGCCTCGCAAGGTCATCTGCTTCGGTAATGTCCTTCTAGACCGATTGGTTAAACTCGAGGATCCCGCACTCCTCGAGCGATTCGGCCTGGAACTGGGCTCCAAGGGAGAACTGGACATGGAGAAACTCAACCAGTTGGCAGCGGAGGCTTCAGAGAGGTAAGCAGCGCTATTTAATACTATTCTAGAACATATAACAATCTAGGTGATTACGATAATCACTCCTTAAGACACTTTTTTAAAGAAACATCAGAAAAAATATTTTATCCCGCCAAGTTTTATAAATATGTAATATAATTAGATCAGACGTTTAATGCCTGTAAGATATATTTTCTAACCTACATCAGTATTAACTAAAAAGTCATAAAACTTTAAAATTAACAAAATTATCCCTTTTAATTTATCGATTAAACCGTATTTTTTGGTTCTTATTTCTTTTCTTTTAAAACCTGAAGAATTTGTTGGTTTTATTTTATAGTGTAAATTATAAAAGACACAGCCATCTTGGAGTAAATAGGGTTTCTTAAACAAAGTGTAACAGCCAAACTGGTTTTCTTTTCGGAGATTCAAGTTGAGGAAGTTCTGAACCAGAGAGAAATCAGTTCATACTTTTAGCTTGAAATACAAACTTAAATGTAATTTTTTTCACGCCTTATACATGACTTTATTTTGATAAGCAGCAAATGTGAAATGTGAGATTTAGCAAGTTAAAGTAACAAAGATCAAGGTTGGTTTAGGGTTTCTTATATTTCATCCCTCTTGCAATAGATAATAATCCCAATTTAACTTACAGCTCCCAGTGCCTTACGAATCCGGGAGGCTCTGCCCTCAACACAGCCCGCATCCTGAAGCAACTGGGCACAGATGCGCTCTTCTTCGGAGCCGTGGGAGCCGATAAGCACGCCGAGGAGCTGCGCCTGATCTTCCGGGAACGCGGCATCGAGGCCAGGCTGCAGACCGTCGAGGATGCGCACACCGGTCAGTGTGTGTGCCTTGATGTACCAGGACAATCCCACGCTGTACGCCAATATCGGGGCCTCTGCCCAGTTCAAAGTGCAGACCCTGAGCCACGCCGTCAGCCACGAGGGTCAGAGCTTCCTGCGACCCGTGGAGCGCAAGCAGATCCTGTATGTGGAGGGCTTCTTCGTGCCCCAGCGTAGCGACGTATGCGACTACATAGTGCAGCATCTGGTGCGGGAAAGGCGACGCCTGGCCCTCAACCTCAGTGCTCCCTACATTGTGCGCAAGAATCCCCAGGCCATGCTGAAGCTGGCCCGCGTTGCCTTCTTCCTGTTTGGCAATCGCCAGGAGTTCGAGGCTCTGGCCGAGGCAGCCGGTGGATTCCGAAATGTCGACGAGCTGGCGGAGCATCTACTCCAGTCCGGCGGCACCAAGGTCATCTTCGTGACCAACGGCAGTTCGGGCGTCCAGGTGATCACCAACTACGTCGAGGAGCTGGCTCCTCCCGGACCCGTCAGCTTCGAGGACTACAGGGCGCAGCGCGTGGAGCAGTGTGTGGATTCCACGGGCGCTGGTGATGCCTTCGTGGCCGGATTTCTGCACGCCTGGCTGGAGAAGCGATCGCTGGGCGAGTGCATCCGCATGGCCTCCAACGTGGCCGCCAAGGTCGTCACCCAGGTGGGCTGCAATCTGCCCTAGACTTCGGTCGAACTGCATCGCAATCTCGGAAAGCGCACAATCAAGCACCAAAGTAGACTCATAGCTTGTAATTATTACCATAATCTCCACAAACTTTAGGCTTAGTCAAACACGGTTTATCCACGGTTTCACACACAAGCAATGATCTTGGTCATAATTGGACTAAAGTGATTTATATATCCTCTAATGAAAGATAAGAGAATTAATTCTGCTTTCCTAATTTGCCCATGTACAAACTGGGTTGTTCCGAGGTTCACTTATCGCTTTATGGACGATAAGTGTTCTGTTAATGTTATTCATTTCCAATTGAATAAAACGTTTAAATTACAAATGAGTTTTTTGCTTGTAATAAGTAGCAATAAAAAAGTTGTTGAAGTTTTTACGGGTTTTTAAACTGAGAAAATTTGTTTCCCGTTGCTTAGATTCCCAAGAAGACAATAAAATTAATATATTTTATAGACAGTAAAATTTCTACGAAACTGAAAACGGGAACAGACACTGTCAAGTACAAGTAGACCTAATTATATGTATCACATTGGAACATTTGTTTTGACCTTCGCAAGAACTGGGAGATAAAAAACTTAACTATTTAGTATAAAATGTGCCCACATCTAATCAAGTCATGCCATGAAATCACCGGAACACTCTTTTTAATGTTTAAATATAGATTTGAGAGAATCGCTGTGTGTACAGTGGGCATGAATGCTTATGTATCTCTTACTAAAATACTGTTCTAAACTTTGATTAGTTCTAAAAATGAAAATAAATTTAAAAATATATTTTTTATGCAGTTACAATGCTGTGTTAACTTTCACCTATATTCACGTATTTTAATAATGGCCAGATAAATGAAAGCTTGTATACAGCTGGTGATTGTTCGACCTCGATTGCCTTGTTAATACGATTGTGTTATTCACTCGAGCGCCGGAGTTCCCAGCATCTGTACCGTTGTGTGAATCGTCACTCGAAGCCGTTATCATACACTTAATTCCCCCAGAGATCTCGAATACATATACATATCTGGTATACATTCTTTGGGATGCTTTATTATCCGCAAACAAACGATTCTCATTTTCCTACGCCGGCTTACTCATACGTCTTACGTATATTATATATGTAGAATGTACATCCCACACGAGTCAGTCAATAAGTGACGAAGTTGGCCCAAAGAGAGCTCGCATGCCCAGATGCCATCAAAGTGAATTCCGCTTTTGTGCTGGCTGTGGGGGTGGATTGGGTTTGGCTTTAGCATTTGGCTTGGGCTGACACACATGTTTGCAAATCGTTAGCAAAAACTAAGCCGCATTTGGCATGCTTGTGCGAGCAGGCCTAAACCAGCTGATGCCGGAGGAACCGAACTGGAGACTCTGTAAGCCCTCAAAACAATAAAGAAGTCCGGGCTTAGGCCGAAAGCAATTCCGCACTTTAAAGGCCAATTCCCGGATCAGCGTAGTGAGCTGACTAATTGGCAAGAAGCCGCTTAAACGGGCCAAGTGGAGCCAGGCTGGAAATGTGCTAAAGTCAATATTGGCACACCCACCCAATTGAGTTTATCGAGGGGTTCGCAGTCCGTACAGCTTAAATCACAACATCCTGCCCCTGTTAATTACTCGATATTAATTTTATACCGACTGGGTGGGAACCGAAGGAACTTTCTATGCTGTGGCCATGGGAACTCTGGCAATGCCAGTCCTTTGTCGGGTCCGTAATTAATGTCATCGTGTGGTTTATGGGGTTAACAGCCACTCCACAGTCGCAACTCCAACTCCCCTTTCGCTTCTATCCCTTTGAAGTCTGCGTGTGTGTAATGACCGTATCCAGACTAACCCAAGGCTCGACTAAGATCCTCACTAGCATGTGATAATTAAGCGTCCTCATTTGCCCAGTTTAGCATTTTAATTTACAATAAATTGTGCTTCGAAAATGGCTGTTGTCAAGGTAATAACCAAAAGAGTGCACTTGAAAAAGGATTGATGTTTCAAATCAGAAGGAGAACTGAATTAAATAAATATAGATTTAAAGTTTATATTTTTTCATAATTTGTTGGATTTTTATTGGGATTTTTTAATCAGGTTTTGTCCTATTTAATTTAAAAATAAAAACATAACTTATCAATACTTTAAATAAATATTTTGTATTTAAGCCTTATAATACTTAAACATTCTTAAAATATTTTTTAATTTATTTAAAAATACACTTTTCTTGCAGTGTGGGAAATGCACAAAAGGTTTGCCTTCCAGTTGATTTATGTGCAACGCTGCGTATGAGCAACCAAATGGGGCAGCTGTAACTGACATTGCATATTTGTCCTCCCACAGTCGCCGCCCCCCTCCCCTTTCCCCCCTTTAAATCCCAACCCCCCCTCAGATTCTCTGTCGAGCATGTTTGCACAAAATATTGCGCATACGCCGCCAGTGCCCAACCTTCTTTGCCGTTCGGCTTTGTCCCTTTGCCTTTTTGCGGCATAACGCGCGGTTAAGTGGCCATAATGTGTGCCTTTATGGGCTTGGCATTGGCATTGGACTCCTTTTTGGCTTGGTGGCTTGCTGGCTCGAAGCCCTTGTCCTGCTCCCATTTTAATTCCTTTGCCATATTTGCTGAGCCAGCATTGTTGCTGAATTATGTTATGCCAGTCGGTCGCTTGTTGATTTTTATATTGTTTTTTTTGTGTCTGAACTGGACTCGGTTCCATTTCCTGTTCCTGCTCCTGCTGTTCTTTTACCTCCTCATGATAAGCGACCAGGCCAAAATATTTGGCTCTGGCATGTTTGCTCAGTTGTTTGCGGATAATCCGGTTTTATTGTTTAATAAGTCATGCCGGCTATCGCTCCCGACTGTCCAGACTGTCCAACCTGTCCGGCCTCCCGTCCGATTTTCCCAGAGTGTCTGACTGCAAACGTTAGCGGCTCGTTGGCTTTTTGACTGCCTGTGCGACAGAGCATGGAAGACCTTTCTTTGGGTTGGGGATTTTTTTGGGTGTGGGTTTGGGAGAACGTGGCAAAATCGATGGCCAAATTAAATGGGGATTTACATATTGAACAAGAGTATGTGCTTTAATTTAAAGGGAACTTCCAGCAATTTTTGTATTATTGTTAACAATAATACAGATTTAAGTAGTCCTACTAGTATAGTTAGCATCTGGATATACAAATAGATTTTATTAAGAAAACCAAATTTTATACAAGTGGATATTGTGGAAGGGAGGCCACGCCACACATGTTGTTGGCGTTTCTAGCCAGTCTAAGGTAGCCATTCTCGCCCCATTCTGTTCCATAAGAGTTCTTGATTAGCCAGTAGTCGGTCCCCATTGAATTGGTTCCAAATCCCACCACGACCACGGAGTGACTTAGGTTGACCCTCTCTGACCTGCATGTCGGAATACTCAAGATGCCAGCGGAGTTCTGGTTGAATTCCTCGTGAAGATGGTCAATGGACACAGCCACTGGCCCAATGTTGTAGACCACTTCGGCCAGTTCCCGTTCATCAGTGTTATTTAGAGTAACATAGTCGCGAAGGGTGGCTGCACTGCATTGGGGATTCTAGAGACAATTCCTTCGCTTCGGTTCGTAGGGATAGGATGCCTTCGTGGCAATGCCGTGATTCCTTATGTGCTTGAAGGCCACGCTTACCCATCCACCTTTGCAGCCGTCGTTTGGATCGGCTACGCAGTCCACTAAATGTTTGGGAGACAACGGAATTAGACTGGAGTGCTTCTTCGCCAGATGCGCCTCCAGGGCACCCGAGGCCGAAAAAGCCCAGCAACTTAGGCATTCGGTGCCCTGATTTTCCACGGCAGAAATACACCCGTACTGTCGCCAGTCTATTCCCCCGCGTATCTGGTCGTATTTCTTGTATCCTGGTGGTTTCTCCACGAACCCAATATTAGGTTCCGGGGGCGATGCAATCGACGATCGATATCTGAGGAGTATTCCCTGGTCGGTGTCGGAGAACTCAGTTATGCCCATCCGGAATCCCACTTTTCCCTGCCAATAGAGCCTGTTGTGCTCGGCCACAGCTTGGACCCTGCGGTCCAATAACTCCCGGTGGTATTCGTCGTCCGAAGGGTAGTGCTTTTTGTATCTTTCCTTGTACTGGGCCCACTGCAAATCGGTCACCAAACTCATTCCCGATTCCACAAGGAAAAGGAGGACCAGTACTTGCATTAAAAATAACTGAAGAGTTATCATTGCGTTCTGGTCTCGTCCAATGCAGATTTAAAACTGATTCACAGCATGACGAACTCAAGATGAGTTTTTCTTGTCGAGTGCATTTACTTGAGCACCAGATAAGCGGTCATTTATTGCTTAAAAGAACTACATATAAAAGATTGAGTATAGGAGTTTGACCTTATTGCACCTACGTAAACCATTTTAAAATTCATACATAATCTATACAAAACTCAAAACAATTGATTTGAATTAGCATGGGAAGTGTTTTAGTATTATTTTCATAAATTTAACCTTTTTTACATTTCCTTTTCTCCTTAGGACCAAATTGTAATATGTTCCTTGGGGCCTTGATAATATGTTTTTTGAGACCAAATTGTAATATTGTTTTTGTGACCTAATTGTAATATGGTCTTTGGGACCAAATTTTAATATAATGAGTTACACTTGCAGCCGATATAAGCTGTCCTATTTATATAGTAAGCATCTAAATTTAATCAAAAACAATTTATTTATTTATCAAGAAAAAATTATTTATTTATCAAGAAAACTGAATACATTTGAAAGCATTTATTAATTAAAATGTCCGTATATTTATACAAGTGGATATTGTGGAAGGGAGGCCACGCCACACATGTTGTTGGCATTTCTAGCCAGTCTAAGGTATCCATTCTCGCCCCATTCTGTTCCATAGGAGTTCTTGATTAGCCAGTAGTCGTTTCCCATTGCATCGGTTCCAAATCCCACCACGAGCACGGAGTGTCTTAGTTTGCTCCTCTCTGACCTGCATGTCGGAATGCTCAAGATACCGGCTGAGTATTGGATGAATTCCTCGTGAAGATGGTCAATGGACACTGCCACAGGTCCAATGTTGTAGACCACTTCGGCCAGTTCCCTTTCGTCGTAGTTATTCAGTGTAACATACACACAAAAAAATTTGCTTGGTAAAATTGACCAACAAAGATAGTTACGTAACTATTAAAATAGTTACGTGTATTTTGTTTTTGCTTTGGGTTTGTGTCTTTGCTAATTGTGTGTATTTTGTTGTTGTGAAATGACTAGTTACTTAGTAGAATTGACAATTTTGCTGGTTGGGGCCAGTTTGACAATTATTACAGTTGATTTTACTAAGTTTTTTTTTTGTGTGTAGTCCCGATGGGTGGCTGTAGGGTGGAAGGGTGGGTAGGGGTTCCACAAACAATGCCCTTGCTTTAGGTCGTAGGGATAGGCATACTTGGTGGAAATGCCGTGATCCCTTATGTACTTAAAAGCTAAGCTCACCCAACCACCTTTGCAACCTTGGTTTTGATAGGGTACGCAGTCCACCAAATGTTTGGCGGAAAGGGGCACCAGGCGGGAGTGCTTCTTCGCCAGATGTGCCTCCAGGGCTCCCGAGGCGGAGAAGGCCCAGCAGCTTAGGCATTCGGTGCCCTGATTCTCGACCTCAGAGATGTAGCCGTACTGCCGCCAGTCTATTCCTTCGGTTATCTGGTCGTATTGCTTATATCCCGGTGGTTTCTCTACGGTGGTTTCTCCAACATTCGGTTCCGGGGGCGATGGCTGCACCGATCGAAAGCTGAAGAGTATACCCTGATCGGTGTCGGAGAACTCGGTTATGCCCATCCGGAATCCCACTTTGCCCTGCGAATAGAGCCTGTTGTGTTCGACCACAGCTTGGATCCTGCGGTCCAATAACTCCCGGTGGTATTTGTCGTCTGAAGTGTAGTGCTTTTTGTATCTGTCCTTGTACTCGTCCCATTCCAAATCGGTCAGCAAACTCATTGCCAATTCCACAAGGAACAGGATGACAAGTACTTGCACTAAAATTGGCTGAAGAGTTCTCATTGCGTTCTGTTCGCGTCCAATGCGGATGTAAAACTGATTTACTGGATGACGAACTCAAGATTAGATGGCGTATACCAAAGAGGCGTTAATTTAACTGATTAAAAAAATTACATTAATATTAATTGCACTTGGCATTTTGACCTCATTACTTTAATGCTGTTTTTATAACTATAATATTTATTACATTAGCTTTCAAGCATATATTTATAACCTTTAATTCTCGGAAATAATAATCTACGTATCTGATTTTGATTAAATGAATACAATGGAATTGATGTTTATATTGGAAGCGATTTTTAAAGAGTAGCTTACATACTTTTTGAGAGAGACTAAATGATACAACAAGGATGACCTAGTAAGGAAAATTCTAAAAATAATTGTAAATTCGCCTTTGAATATTAAATAACTAGATTATGGAAATGTAAAAGCATTTCAAATGCAAATCAGCCTAGACTTGGATCCTTTGAAAATGGCAATGGCAATCGCACTTCAATTACATTACACTCATCATTAGCCAATTAGCTAAATTATAGGCTGAGCGACGACAATTGCCAAATGGCTTCAGTTCCCACTTCCACTTACATTTCAATTCCCATTCCCACTTCCATTTCCGTTTATATTGTCAATCGCTACCCCACAGATTGCCTTCCTCGATGGCGACAATTGGTGCGAAATAAAAGACATTTACCCAGCACTTTGCGGCACAGTCTAAAGTGGATCTCCTGGCTTACGGCAATAGAAAATAGCAAATAGAACGGAGAAATGGCAATCGAGGATATTGGCCTGGTGGGCATCAATGTGCGAATGTGGCGCTACTTGGGAGTACTCTACCCCACTCCGGGCACCAACTGGCGGAAGTTCGCCTTCGTCCTGCCCGTGACGGCGATGAATCTGATGCAGTTCGTCTACCTGCTGCGGATGTGGGGCGACCTGCCCGCCTTCATACTGAACATGTTCTTCTTCTCGGCCATTTTCAACGCCCTGATGCGCACGTGGCTGGTGATAATCAAGCGTGAGCAGTTCGAGCAGTTCCTCCGCCGATTGTCTTCTTTGTTCCACTCCATTTTCGACGCCAGCGACGTGTGGGGGCGTGACATCCTGCGGGAGGCGGAGAGGGAGGCTCGGAGCCTGGCCATCCTTAATTTAACTGCCTCCTTCCTGGACATCGTAGGGGCTCTAATCTCGCCGATTTTCAGGGAGGAGAGAGGTTAGTATTATCGCGAAAACAGAAAATTATAAGAGGGATTTAAGATTTTAAACTTGAGAGCCCATAATATTTTTCAAAACAGACTCAAGGAAATTAAATGAGATAAGTTAGTTGGAAATTGTTGTATAATTCAAAATATATCGAAAAAAAAATAATATTATGTAATTAATTTCAACCAAGAAGTTAATTATATTGTCTTTATTTGTTTTGCCGAATAAGTGTTAAAGCTAACATTAATCTGTTTTAAAAAGCCAATTAAATTTCGGTAAAGTGCAACCTATTTTTTTACAAGTGAAACGACTTGTCTAAAACATTCTATCCAAAGCTTTTTTAAAGCCTTATCTTTTCTTTAGTTAATATTTATTAATTAAATATTCTTTAATATAAAACCTATGGGTTCTGTAAACGTTTTCCTCCTCCAGCTCATCCCTTTGGCGTGGCCCTGCCCGGAGTGAACATGACCCGCACGCCGGTGTACGAACTGGTTTACGTGGCCCAGCTGCCCACGCCTCTTTTGCTGTCCATGATGTACATGCCTTTCGTCAGCCTCTTCGCTGGGATGGCCATCTTTGGAAAGGCCATGCTCGAGATCCTGGTACGTAGGCTGGGCCAGATTGGCGGCGAGGAGCAGTCGGAGGAGGTGCGCTTCCAAATGCTGACCTCCTGCATTGGGTACCACAGCAAGGTGATGGGGTGAGCCGCAAAGCGAAGAGGGGTCGGTTGCCGAGGGGATCTCTAAGCTCCTCATTTCCATTTCAGCTATGTGTGTGAACTCAACAAGCTGGTAACCAACATTGTGGCGGCCGAAGCAATTATATTCGGCTCGATAATCTGCTCGCTGCTCTTCTGTCTGAATATTGTGGGTTACTGATTTCATCAGGGGTGTTAGCTAAATTTAAAAATTCAGGATTGGAATTTTAAAAAATTAATTTTCTATTTTAAATTAATATTTTTAACATTTTTGGTTAAATAATATTTTAATAATTTTCCAGATTACTTCACCCACCCAAGTGATCTCTATAGTGATGTACATCCTCACCATGCTCTATGTTTTGTTCACCTACTACAATCGCGCCAATGAAATAGTCCTCGCGGTGATCTACATAACTAAATGCACTCCATAGACTCTTTTTAATTTTAGTAATTTTCCGTAGAACAACCGAGTGGCGGAGGCCGTTTACAATGTGCCCTGGTATTCGGCCAACATTCGTTTCCGCAAAACCCTCCTGATCTTCTTGATGCAAACACAACATCCCCTGGAGGTGGGTGCATTGCATTTCATTTGCGAGTCCCTGATTCTAATCCATTCCCATTTCGGGTGCGGTGCGCTCCATTTCATTCTGCAGATAAAAGTTGGCAACGTTTACCCCATGACTTTGGCCATGTTTCAGAGTCTGTTGAATGCGTCCTACTCCTACTTCACCATGTTGCGTGGCGTCACCAGTAAATGAGCTGAAAGACCGAAAAAACCGGGCAACCAAAGGATCCCTATCCCTATGCTTTTCCCTTTTCACTTTTCCGGCAATCCGAGTAATGCAAAAAGTTGTTTTTGCCGTTGGTCCTGTGGTCCTGGCTCCTAGTTGTTTGGCATTTGCATATGCTTGTCGTTTGAAAGGATTTAATCGGACTGCTGGCATGGAGTCGGCATCCTCGTAGCTGGCATGCAAATAGTTTGCTGCTTTGAATTGGCTTCTTAGATTGTTACACAAAATAGATTGTAGATTACAGCAAAATGTTGTGCTTGAAATAAAGTCAAATGAATGCGGAATAGCAGTCCAAGGTTTTATGTTTGTGCCTAAAAGTATGATTTGCAAATATCAAAGGATTTGGATTTGTGGCGGAGGTGGTTTCCAATTTCGGGGCAAGAAAGATGCTCTACAAAGATATGAATAAATAAATATTTATCCTTCCTGGCAATTAGTGTTGATATTGATTGAGTGGAATTAGTTTGAGCTCTGAAAGTTCCTTACCTATTCATTTTTTATTGCTCAATTTTCAGAGCATACTTTCAGGATGAGCCAACAAATTTGAATATTTGAGCGGTCTGTCCTTTGCGCTTTTAATTAAAATGCCCAAAACTAGTTGTTTTGTCTGCTGCAATTTAATTAACATTAGTCATGTCCTTTATTATGCAAATAAACTGCTGCTGCTGCCGCCTGAAAGATCGCTTAATGCCGGCCCAACAGCAATAACAGCTTAATTTAAAATTCATTATAACTGACACCAACTAGTTAAACAATTGCCAGCGGCAGGAGGCATAAACATCAACAGCAACAAAGGACAACTAGAACAGGAGCAAAACAAAGGACGAAGGGTGCGCCTGGAAAATTGAAATGAGCGGCGGCAGGCGCACTTGAAATACGCAAATAAACTTCAAAGAAGGACGACTGCACGCTGTGTTCTGCGCTCGATGTCCTGGCGAGCGCATAAATAACAAAAGGAGCAAGGAGGGATCCCGGCTCCTGTTCCTGCTCCTATCCTACAGGCTCGAGTGGCGTATACTTAATTTTATTATGAGGTGTCAAGTGCGGACCAGTTGACTTGCCCGGCCGAACGCCTTTTGTGTTGTATTTTGTGTTTGCCGCCGTTATTTATGTTGCCTGCTGCCCGCCATTTGGTGGCAGGTGAACGCCTACGTGCCCCGCCCTCCCTCACAAGCCATCCACAATGTGAACTTCCTCTGGGCTTCCACTTTTTCTTGTTACACTTAAAGAAAATATGAACAAGAGTGTTTGAGATTTTGGTATTTTTTTAAATGCATAAACTACATATATCAATTGTGATTTTACCAATTATAAAAGTAAAGCAATAATCCAAAAGACTCCAGTTTAACATAAAATCATTATTCAATAATAAAGATTTTGTTGTAATTAAGTACTGAAATATCCTTAAAAAAGACATTTATATCTGATAAATATAATTAGAAATGCCAATACAAGCATTTATGACGAAACAAAGGATTTTTAACTCCAACAATAAAATTCCCAATTAATTGGCATTTAAACATAAAAATTCAGGGACTTTGGAGACTTATTAACATACTTTCTTTTCTGAGCGGCATTCTTTTCTTTTCGTGTAAAGGACCCATAGTTGCTTGGCTCCTGCTGCCAGCTGGTCCTTTGATTTTTATGCAGGCAATATGCAAATGCCGCCGGAAATGTAAATGCGCCACTCCGAGTGAAGGAGAGACACCCTGACGCTATCGCATCCGCCGAGTCCTCATTGTCTGCTGCATAAAATTAACAAGTTTGGCAAAAAACTGTTTCATTAGAGAACGGTTCGTGGTCGCGGTCGCCAGCCACGCCCCCTGCTACGCCCACACGCCCATCCACAAAAGCAACCGAAGGTTACGTTGTTTTATAATTGAATTCATATGCATCAATGAAGGCAGTTCAACAAACACAACACAAAACCCAAAGGGAACATTTCGGTTGGTTGGGGGATGGAGTAACCACAACATGGCAAACAGGCGAATTCGGGGGTGGTGCGGGTTTTCCCGGCTTTTCCGGGTTGGGTGGCCCACTTTTTTGGTGGCATTTTCAATTTTAAATGGATTTTCAATTGCGGTGGGAGCATTTTGCATAAATTGCTGTAATGAGTTTATTTCGAAGCCCTCGCAAGTGGCTTCGTTGGCGTCTCTCCATGTCCTTCCATCCATGTGGGATATCACCGGAATATTTCGAAACACTACGGGCTGTGTGGCCGTGCTCATTTGCAATTGTCAACTGGCTGTCACGGGTGACAGTCGTATTGACAGTTTGCTTTCGCTGTTAATTTTCATTTTAATTGTGGCATTTTGCTGACAGTTGATGCTGGAACTTTGTTGGGTGTTTTGCGGTCGATTCAGGGAATTTAATTTGCAATCCCCACTTGGCTGGCTTAACTTTAAGTGCCGGAAGTTGGTCTCCGGTTGAAGGGGGTGGAATGCTGTTAGTCTAACCATCACTTATGCGCAGCCAACCCATCAGATATTCCATCCATTGTCTATCGGGTCATTTGCGAAATCTCTCATAAGCAAAGCATTCATTTTCCAATTATTTATTGATGCCTCTGTGTCGAACTCCTCCCTCTACTACTCGGTACTACAACTTCACCTGCAATAAATCCACAGAGCCACCTGCCCTCCTCGTCCTTCGATTCCTGGCACAACCACATTGTCTAGCTTCCTGGGCAGGATGTTTGTCTGTCTGGCTGCTGTTTTGCCGTCTGGTGCCTGCTGCCTGGTGCCTGGAAAATATTTGCATTTTCACTTTTGATTTATTATTGCCATTGCCATGTGTAAATTGGCAAAGCAAAGGTGCAAACAACAAGGCAGTCATCTTCCAGGACTCGCCGCAAATGCAGCTGCAGCCGAAGAGGAGGCTGCGTTGACAAGGACACATTATGTTTGGCCAAATGAATGGTAATTGCGGCATTGAAACAAGTAATTGAAGTGCAAGCCAAACAGATTGCCAACTTTGCTGGTCGCTTTCCGGAGGAGTCGACCACATTTCGATTGGAGTTCTGGAGTTTTGGCCCAGAAAGAGGTCATCGCAGCGCTCTGCTAATTACAAGACCAAATTAGAGAGGCTTCCCCAGCTCAAGCTTCCCTTTTTCCGCTACCATTGCCAATTACTTCCGCCTCTGTGTGCAATTTCCGCTTGCCCAGGTTGGATCGTTGAATCTCCAGTTGGAGTTGCCTAAGCAGCTTTGCTGGAAAACGTCAAAACAGCGACAACTTTATATGGCCACAAAGGCAACAGTAACGAGGGCAAAATGGGGAAGCATAAGCAGATAATTACACAGGCGAACAACAACTATCTCCGAGCTTCTTTTTCCCGTTTTCCTGGCTGCTTCTCCTACTGCCGCGACCACAGAGTAGAAAATTACAGAAATAAAAAACCACAAGCGGAAAATTAAGAGCCAAGAGCCTGCGGTCCGCAAATGGCAGACGGTCGTAGAAAACTCCATTTCCATTCGTTTGCGGCCCCAACTTGGGCCCCAAAACTTTAAGTTCATCTTCGAGTGGCTGCCCTAGGCCTAGAACTTGATCGGGCCCTTTGATTATCACTGCAAATGGGAAATTCCTGTTTTTCGGGCGAAAATTCCCAACCAGCCAGAAGCTGGGAAACTGCGGAGACATTTTCGGCATTTTTGACTGTCTGCCAGTGCCTGTAAGCGAAATGCAAACACGGAGTTCGGCACTCCATCCCCCAGAAAACGCGAGAAACCCCATCAACCCCTGCCCTTTGTGTCTGCCCTGCAGCCACATTTAAATATGCCGCCAAGTTTTACCTTCGCTTCGACGCCTCGCCCCCTGGAAAGGAGCCCCGAAATCCCGCACCCTCGTTATCATCATCACATGGCGGTGGCTGGCACTGATTTCATGCTTTATAACTTTCGATATCCGAATGGCAAACAGCGTTTAGCGCTTTGCCCTGCCACCTGAAAAGTGGCGGGGGCCATCACGGCGTATGCGCAATGTTTACTTTGCATTTTTCTTCGTTTTTTCAGCTTTCAGTGGTTGTTTTTTCAAGGGCTTTGCATTTGCAGGGGGTGTATGCCTCATGGCATATGCATGATACATCAAATATTTAAGCTATATTTCAGCCATTCCGACAATGAGTCAAATCTGAAGGAATGTCTGGGGACTGCGATAATAAAGTTTACAGATAAACGACTTGGCAATCGAATTATGCTCCCCAGCCCAAGAGACTTGATTTCGTCTCTAAAGGTATTTACATATTTCCATTTGGTATTTAGATTTTATTTATCGTTTTGATTGGATTGTTTTCGGTGACTTAAAGAGAGAGAGGGAGCAGTTTAAGGACCTGGACAAAATCGGTTAGCTGGGACCACATGATATTGTTATTCTTGTCGTAATTAAAAACCCATGAAAGCAAGGGCGGCGACCAAACAACTGGCCACATATGCACCCATCCACATGCTCGTTCAGACAGACAGACAGAAGGATCCTGGGGGTTTGCATGTGTGTGGCAAAATAAACATGAAGCGTATTGATGGCAAGGAGTCCTCGCCAGGCAAAAAGTTTCATCTCAATTTTAAGCCAAAGTAATGAAAAAGTAACAACAACAGTCAAAGGAAACACGAAGCAGAAGGAGGAGCAAAAAAAAAGAGGAAAAATTAAAACGAATGCTATAGACAAAGCATATTTGCACGCAGCGCGAAGGACTCCATCCTCCTGGCAACCCGATGATGAAAATGATGATGATATCGTTGACGACGCAGCACACAAAGCAACGCTAACGCTTTATGACAGCCCAATGGGCCGCAGGAGAATCAGAAACTGGGGAATCGGAACCCATTTCATTCCATCGTTATTTTTCTCGTGTTTTTGGTAAGAACTCCTAAGGACGCTGTTTACATTCCCTGGCAAAAGGACAAGCGAACGGACCTTGTCTGCAAAGCGGCGAAATTAAAAACCAATAAAAACGCTGCGAGGAACGAAATT